TAATGTCCTTTAAAAAAAACTTTCTGTAGTTTTATAGTGTTCATTTTTTAAAAAGTCTTCTTCCCTCTATGATTAACTGCTTTTGTACTTTGAACTCATATTTAAATGGGTCGGTTTCAGTCCTTTTATCATACTGCACGACTTAAGTGTGTTCTGCACTGATGCTGCACTGTTTTACTTAACAACAGTTTTGCAGGAGACTCCGACATCAGATTAGGAAAGTCTTTCTATACTCCTATCGATTTGTTTTTCTGAAAATCTCTTGTCCTCACTCACTCTCCCATATGAATGTCAAAATCATACGAGGTTCCAACAAAATAATTATACGGCAATTTGAATTGGAAGTATGTGTTCTGGTTCATTTAAGGGAATGGGCTCCTTTATAGCACTCACAGTACCTTTACTTATCCAAATTTTCTGTTATGTGTTTCAACAATATGTTGTATTTTTCTTTATGGGTTCGGCAAGGATTAATTTTATGTGTCACTTCTCAACCGTACCTGGCAAAGTGACATTTTAATGAGGTTTGGACTTGGAATTGATGTTTGAATGGTTTAAGAATTCTGAGGATGTTGATGTAAAAGAACAAAATTAGAACATTTCCTAACACCATATACAAAGATAAACTTAAAATGGATTAAAGCCCTAAATATAAGGTCAGAGACTATAAAACTCTTAGAGGAAAGCATAGGCAGAACATTCGATGACATAAATCAAAGCAACAACCTCTATGACCCACCTCCTAGAATAATGGAAGTAAAAACAAAAGTAAACAAGTTGGATCTGATTAAACTTAAAAGCTTTTGCACAGCAAGGGAAACTATAAGCAAGGTGAAAAGACAACCCTCAGAATGGGAGAAAATAATAGCAGATGAAACAACTGACAAAGGATTAATTTCCAAAATATACAAGCAGCTCATATAACTCAATATCAGAAAGACAAACAACCGAACCAAAAAGTGGGGCAAAAGACCTACACAAGACATTTCTCTAAAAAAGACATACAGATGGCTAACAAACACATGAAAAGAAGCTCAATATTGATCATTATCAGAGAAATGCAGATCAAAACTACAATGAGATTATCACCTCACACCGGTCAGAATGGCCATTATCAAAAAATACGCAAACAAATGCTGAAGAGGGTGTGGAGAAAAGGGAACCCTCTTGCATTGTTGGTGGGAATGTAAATTGATACAGCCACTATGGAAGACGGTATGGAAATTCCTTAAAAAACTACAAATAAAACCACCATATGACCCAGCAATCCCACTTCTAGGCATGTACCCTAAGGAAACCAAAATTGAATAAGACACATGTACCCCCAATGTTCACTGCAGTGCCATTTACAATAGCTAGAACACTGAAGCAACCTAGATGTCCATCAACAGTAGAATGGATAAAGAAGTTGTGGTACATATACACGATGGAATATTACTCAGCCACAAAAGGAATACATTTGCGTCCATCCTAATGAGGTGGATGAACCTAGAGCCTATTATACAGAGTGAAGTAAGTCAGAAAGAGAAAGGTAAATATCATATTCTTATGCATATATATGGAATCTAGAAAAATGGTACCAAAGAATTTATTTGTAGCGCAGCAGTGGAGAAACAAACATAGAGAACAGACTTATGGACATGGGGAAAGGGGAGAAGAGGGTGAGATGTATGGAGAGAGTAACATGGAAACTTACATTACCATATGTAAAATAGATAGCCAATGGGAATTTACTTTATGGCTCTGAGAACTCAAACAGGGGCTCTGTATCAACCTAGAGGGGTGGGATGGGAAGGGAGATGGGACAGAGGTTTAAGATGGAGGGGACATATGTATACCTATGGCTGATTCATGTTGAGGTTTGACAGAAAATAACAAAATTCTGGAAAGCATTTATCCTTCAATTAAAAAATAAATTAACTTTTAAAAAAGAATTCTGGGGATGTTGAGATGGGGTGAGTGTATTGTGCACAAGAGGACATAAATTTGGGGGAAAATGCAGAATGTTATGGACCAAACTGATTTTGGACTTCTAGCCTTCTAGAGCTGTGAAAAAATAAATTTCTGCTATTCAAGGCACCTAGTGTGTGCTTTTCTTTCATGGTGACTTACAGACTATTGGGGCTTCCCAGGTGGCACCAGTGGTAGTAAAGAACTGGCTTATCAATGCAGGAGACCTAAGAGACGTAAGAGAAGTGGGTTCCATCCCTAGGTTGGGAGGAAACCCCTGGCAGAGGGCATGGCAACCCACTCCAGTATTCCTGCCTGGAGAATCCCATGGACAGAGGAGCCTGGCTACAGTCTATGGGATTGCAGAGAGTCAGGCATGACTGAGTAACACTACAGACTACTAATAATACACGGTTCTACACATTTCTTACAATTTTTTTTACTAGGTATTTTTTTTTTTTACTATGATGTTATTCAAGGCTGTATTTGGAAAAGGGGTTCTGAAACTTTTGTGGACCTATTAATAATGGTCCTCAATTCCTTTTCTTGAAGCCTGTTCTCATTGCTATTGCCTCACATCAGTCTTGTAGCTTCTGTTACTAAGCTGCTGCATTCAAAGGGACCTGACCCTGGTTTACTTTCATATTGGAGGACAAAGACACTGAAGTTTCCAAATGATATCCTTGAAGTCAGGCACATACATTTGTTTTTAGAGAGCAATCAGAATTTTTACCCCAAAGTAAAAAAAAAAAAAAGTATTAGAAACAGATTATGATTTTTTTTGTGTGTATGTTTATTACACAGTAGCCTCAAATCAAATTGAAAACAAAAAGTGGAGCTACAAACCAAAGTTACAATAGTACTAGCTTTTCATTTTTTTAAACTTCTGATTTTATACTGGAGTATAGCTGATTAACAATGTTGTGATAATTTCAGGTGGACAGCAAAGGGACTCAACCATACATATACACGTATCCATTCTTCCCCAAACTCCCCTCCCATCCAGGCTGACAGAGAACATTGAGCAGAGTTCCCTGTGCTACACAGTAGGACCTTCCTGGTTATCTGTTTTAATTATAGCAGTGTAGCACTAGCTTTTCTAGTCACCCATCTATCTATTTTTACCAGAGATCTTAATCTCTTCATAAGGCTTTGAGTTACTGTCAAAAATCCTGCACTCCAACCGGAAGGACTCCGTGCCGAGGCAGAACTCTCTCAACTCTTACAAACTGGGCATGCCTTAATTTCTCCTTCATTTTCGAAGCACAGTTTTGCTACACATAGGATTCTTGGTTGACAGCTTCTTTCCCTTCAGCACTTCAAATACACTGACCCATGTCATCTGGCCTCTGAGGCTCCAAAGAGTAATCTATTCATGATCTTCCCAGAAAATCTCTCAGCTTTGCAGACATTAACTATGTGCCTTATGAGTGTCTTATGCAACAGGACAGTTTCTGATAGTATAGTCAAGTTCATTTAAATGGTCACTTTATTTTGAGACCAGGGTTTAAGGAAAAGGAATTAAATATTTCAAGTGTAGATGTTATGAGTCCTTTCAGACTAGAAGAATTCTACAGGTTTTAATTTCTAAGAAAGTGAATACCAGTCTCTAATAGCACATATAAAGAAAAATCTCTTTAGGACCCTTTTTCTTAAGTGTAAAGGGACCTTGAGCCTGAAAAGGGAGAAAACCATTAGGATTTATCCTCAGCCATGATTGGTCCATTTCCTGCTCTGTCCTCATAGGGCACAACTGTGATGAAACCGACTACAAACCTTATGTAAGAGCTCAACTGGCCCCAAGTTTTTGTTCCTTAGAGCCCAGGAAGCTGATACTGGTGACTTGACGGCTGGACCCACAGTTAGCGTGTTTTTTTCCTGTGTTTTTGCCATTCTGTCGATTTTATTTTTCCTTTTTTTCCTCTCCGCTTTTTTATTTTTCTTATTTTTCTTTTCCTTTTCTTAATTAAAAAATTTCCCCCTTTTTCTCATTTGTATTTCATTTTGTTTTTTCCATTGTTTTCTGTCTTTTCCCCTTAGTTCTGTCCTTCATTTTTTTCATTTTAGTGTTTCTCATTAAAAATTTTTTTCTTTTTATTTTTCCTTTCATTTTGTTTTTTCCCATTTTTTTGGTTTTTCCCCCTCTTAGTTCTACTTCTCTTTCCATATTTTTTTTTTTAGTTTTTCTCATTTGTAGAATTTTTCTTTGTATCATTTTCTTATTTTTGCTTTTTCCCATTTCCCCCCTTAATTCTTGTTCACATTTTATCTTTTATTTTTATTTTTTTAGTTAGTGCTGCTAGTATTAGTATAGTTAGTATCATTGGTACAATCAGCATATTTTGTATAGTTAACAGTTTATTAGCATAGTTAGTATAGGTGGTATTAGCATAGTTAGCATTGTCAGTGTAGTTGGCATAGTCAGCACTGTTAGTATAGTTGGCATAGTTTCGTTGCTAGTAGAGTTGTCATAGTTAGCGTTTGTTAGTTTAGTTGGCATAGATAGCATTTGTTTCTTTAGTTGGCATAGTGTTTGTTAGTATAGTTGGCATAGAGTAGTTACCTGGTAGAGTTGTTAACTGGTAGAGTAGTTAGGGTTTACCACCATGCAGGACCTAATGGCCATTTATTCAAATAAAGGCACTCAAATAGAAAAGTATCAAATTGTCCACATTACTGGAGAAGGACGCTTTGCTACAGTTGAGTTGGCCCGGCATGTTGTGGCCGGGAGCAAGGTGGCCCTTAAGGTCATGAAGAAATGGAAATGGAGGTTATACAACCTCGGAGAGCTCTTGCGTGAGAGGAAAAGTATGAAGCTGCCAGACCATGAAAACATCGTCAAAATCCTCGATGTCGTTGACATGGAAGATTCTACCATCATGGTTATGGAATACATGCGCGGGGGAGACATGCGCACCTCCCTGGATGAGCAGGGCCGCATGACCCAGAAGGAGGCCCAGCGCCCCTTCGGCCGCTCCTATCGGCCCTGAACCATGGCCGCGAGCAGGGCACCGTGCACTGGGGCCTGAAACCGAGCAACTTGCTCCTTGATGCTGACCGAATGTGAAGACTGCAGACTTAGTCTGAGCACCGAATACCACCCTGGAGAGAAGCTAAACACATTCTGCGGCAGCCCTGCCTACGCAGCCCCTGAGGTATTCCTGGGGCCGATGTACTCAGGCCCGCCCGTGGATGTGTGGAGCCTTGGCGTCATCCTGCATGTCATGGTGACTGGGTACGAACCCTTCCGAGGACAAGATTACTGGAAGATGAGGCAGAGTGTGCTCACAGGGCGTTATTATGTGCCCGACTACCTATCATATGAAATAAGAACATTAATAGCAAGCATGCTGACCCTCAACCCAATGGACAGAGCTACTTTACACCATCTTCGGCAGCATCCGTGGGTCTAGATGGATGAGTAGAAGCCACTCCAGCCACTCTGTGAAGAGGACTCGGAGGTGAGAGTGCAGAAGCTTCTGGGCTCTAGGTGGGCTGAAAGCCAGAGCTCAGAAAGCCTGAGCTTGAATAGACACAGGGTGGGGTCCCAGTCCATCCTTGTGAAGCCCTCCCTTGCCATGAAGGACTTCACCATCCAAGAACTCCAGCCTCCAAGCCCTGAGATTCCCACCATCATACCAGCCTGTCTATTTCTGAGGGAGACCATTCGGATACCGGAGACAACACACGAGTCAGATGAGATCACTGACCCTACCACTCCCCCACGTACCCCATCTTCCTGGTGTGACCATGGGGCCACTCCCTCCACCCATGGCACCCCCGACATCCGCCACACCTGCCACACGCCTGACACCCGGGCACTAACGATATCTGCTGCACAGGAGGCACCTGAGACACCGGCAGCATCCAAGACATCAGTGGCACCCATGACACCCGAGACACCAGCAGCATCCAAGACATCAGTGGCACCCATGACACCAGAGACACCAGTGGCATCCAAGACATCAGTGGCACCCATGACACCCGAGACACCAGCAGCATCCGAGACATCAGTGGCACCCATGACACCCGAGACACCAGCAGCATCCAAGACATCAGTGGCACCCGTGACACCAGAGACACCAGTGGCATCCAAGACATCAGTGGCACCCGTGACACCAGAGACACCAGTGGCATCCAAGACATCAGTGGCACCCATGACACCCGAGACACCAGCAGCATCCGAGACATCAGTGGCACCCATGACACCCGAGACACCAGCAGCATGCGAGATACGCATGACAAGAGCAGCAGCCGTGACACCAGCGGCACCTGTGACATTCGCAGCAAGAGAAGCACCCGTGACACCAGCGGCACCCACGACACCAGCGACAGCCGTGAGAAGAGTGACACCTATGACACCAGCGGCACCCGGGACACCCAAGACACCAGCGACACTCATGACACCCATGGCAAGAGCAGCACCCAGTACAAGAACAGCACCCGAGACACCAGCGGCATCTGAGATGTCAGCGGCACCCGTGACACCCACGGCAAGAGCGGCACTCACAGCAGGAGCAGCACACATGGCAAGGGTTGCAACCGTGGCAAGAGCAGCACCCGAGACACCAGCAGCACCCGGGACAAGAGTGGCCCCCGAGACACCCACGGTACCCGTGATATCAGCAGCAAAGCCCCAGAGGGAAACCACTATGCCCTGAGTGTGGCCAACACCGCCGGAAGCTCTGACCAAGCTGGGCAGTCCCACTCCCCAGCCACTCCCTCTCGCCTCAGAAAGAAAAAGAGGGGCGTGGCTGGGAGAATATGGAGGTTTATAAGAAAACATTGCTTTTGTGTATGCCCAGTAAAACCCACACAAGTAAAATAGGCCCAGACCAACCCATGCATGACTGACCAAGACAAAAGGAGCCCTGCTGAGCTCCCTGGGACCCAGTCAAGTGGACTATGGGATTCAAATCCAGCACCTCCATGGCCTTCAGGAATGCTGACCAGCTCAGAGAATGGTCTGGAGTAGCCTGGGAGACCAGAAGAGGCATCACCCTGACCCAGCTGCCCCTCCTCTGCCACTGGGTGAAACTTCACAGACTGGACTGTCCCCCGGGGCATGTACCCCTTCCCCCGCATCCCCCCATCCATGTTGGTGGTGGAGGGGATAGTTCTTGCCAACTCCTTGGATCTTTTTAGTTTTAATAAACTTTATTTCTCCAGAAAGATGTATCTGTCTGTTTTGCATCCTCTCCAGTTAGAGAAGTGTGTAGTCATGTAGGACTTGGGGTTAATGACCTGAGAATTAGCACAATGATTCTCAAGAGCAACAACTGCTGCACTGCAGGGCAGAAATGCAGAAAGAGTGTATTATTCTCCCACACTGACAATACCGAACATTTTCAGAAGGACTGAGGGAAACTTTTGATCTCTGCAGCCTTTGTTAATTATGACTGGGAGGTCTAGGATAGGATAGTAAGTCCCCTGAACCAGCTGGTGGGTGGTGTGGTCAGCTCCCTGTGCAGATGAGTTTCCTGAATGTCCTGGAGGAGTCTGTGCTCTCCTCTCCCCTGTGGGGAGGGGCCCTGATGGGTGGGGTTTTGTTACACTATTGCTTGTTTTATGTTTTGGCCTCATGGCATATGGGATCTTAGTTCCCCGACCAGGGATGGAGCCCACATCCCTTGCATTGGAAGGCAAAGTCCTAACACCGGACTGCCAGGTGAAGTACCTTTTTGGATGTGTGGGTTTGACCACAGGGACTGGATGGTTTTAAAACACTAGATTTGTCAGCATTACCTGGTTCCCTTGTTCAACGAGCCCTTGAACACAGGGGTGACTGGAACAGGGTCTTCTCCCCAGAGGCCTGTCTCTGGGGATGCACACTCTCGGCGGCAATGCCTGCACCGTTCCATTGGCTCTTGTGCACTTACATGTCACTTGCCGACTGCGGAATCCTTCACCACAAGACACAGAGCACTCTGACCACGTGCCTGTGAGCCACCTAAGAACAAAAACTACAGGAGCTTAGTAGGACGGTCCCTATGGTATGTGCATAACGTTATTAGAAACTGCCACATAGTTTTCCAATGTGGTTGTCCCATTTTATCCATCTATCTGCAGTACATTGGGAATTTCTTTTAATGCCAAAATGTTTACATTATCAGTTGGTTTTCACTATTCTGGTAGGTGTGATACTGCATCTCATTGTACTTTCAATTTTCATTTTCCTGATTCCATCTGTCTTTTTTGTGAACTTCAAGTCTTTTGCCATTGTCTTTCTCGGGGAGGGGAGAGTTCATTGTTAAACTGTAATAGTTCCTCATATATTCTGGATATAAGTTCTTTATCAGACACAGGTACTGCCAATCTTTCTCCCAGTCTAAGGCTTATGTGTTCATATTCTTAATAGTGTCTTTGATTAGCAGATTTTTGATGAGGTCCAATTTGATTTTTTTTCATTTTATGATGAATGATTTTTGACACAAATGAATTGAAAAAGTAGATCATTATTTCCTCCCATACAGAACTCCTCAGTGGCTTCTCATATTTTGGGAATAAAAGTCCAGACTACCTTGACCTTCAAAGCCTTGAATGATTTGGTCCTCAGAAGCTCTCCAGCTTCATCTCACACCCCTTCTCCTGCTACCCCACTGAACCCTCACCACACAAATCTTCTTTCTGTTCCTTGACCACGCAGAGCCTGTGCTCACTTTAGAATCCTCGCGCTCACTGTCCCCTCTGCCAGAAATGCTCTTTCCTCACCTCTTGGGATGGGCGGCTCCGCCCCATCCTTTAGGTCTGGACTCATGCTTCACCTCCTCAGAAGGGTAAAGTAGTTATATGCAATCACCACTGGGCTCACCACCCTATTTCCTTCTCTTCATAGGACTTTCCAGAGAAATATCCTGTATTCTTATTTGTTTACTGGTTTATTATCCATCTCTCTGACTGGAATGGCAAATCCTTGACACTAGACATATTATATACTTAGGTGCTCAGCTAGTATTTGTTAAGGTGACAAATGAATTTCTTTGAAATGCTAGCCATTGAAGGGTTGGCATATTCCACAATGTACACACACACGTGTGTGTGTGGTGCATGTGTGTGTGTGCAGGAGGTGGTAGAACAATGTAGGTAGTTTCAATAAATCAAAGTTTTAAATATTCCAAAGATGTCAACTTTACCAGCAACTTCAGCCTCATGAGTATCCAATCTTTTAATTAAGTGATTTGAAGGCATTCGTTTGATTTTCATGTTCCATTCCACATGGAACTTCTCTCTGCCTGTGCACATCCTGATTTCTCTGCCTGGAACATTCTTCTCCCTCCTCCCAGAGCAACATCCTGATTTCTGTGGAAACCTGGTTGGCTTCTCCAGAGAGCATTAGGGACCCCTCCTCAGAGCTACTGTGTCCTTTGGAGCTGACTCACTGGAAAAGACCCTGATGCTGGGAAAGATTGAAGGCAAAAGGCAAAGCGGGTGGCAGAGGATGAGGGATGAGATGGTTAGATAGCATCACTGACTCAATGGACATGAATTTGAGCAAACTCCAGGAGACAGTGAAGGACGGGGAAGTGTGGCATACTGCAGTCCACAGGGTCGCAAAGTGTCAGACATGACTTAGCGGCTGAACAACAAACAACTATTACAGCCTTTGTCACTTTGCTTCAAAATATCTGTTCACATGACCATCTCCTTCTCTAGACTATGAGCTTCTCAAAGGCTAGGTCATCTACGCATTCCTGGCTCTGGCAAAAGCAAGCAAGCACTGGGCAAATATTTGTTGAACATGGCTATGTTTGTGTCCGAATGTTTGTGTCTCTCTAAAATTCATGTGTCAAATCCTAACACTCAGGAGGTGGGGGCTTTGGGAAGTAATTAGGTCACATAGGCGGAGCCCTCATGAATGAGATTAGTGCCCTAAGGAAAGAAGCCCCAGGGAGCCCCTTCATCCCTTGGCCATAAGAGGACACAGCAAAAAGATGACTGTCTGTGAACCAGGAAGCCGGTCCTCATCAGACATACAACCTGGCCCTACCTTGATCTTGGATTTCCCTGCCTCCAGAACTGCAAGAAATAAATGCCTGTTGTTTATAAGCCACCCCCTCCATGCTGGTCTGTGCTATGCTATTATGGTAGTGCAAACATACTAAGATGAATGTTGAATGAATGGATGAAGGTGTTTCTAAGGATGGTAGCACTATGTCTAAAAGAAGAGAAAATGGTATCACATAAATAACCCTAGATAATGATCTCATAAATAACATGAGCTGGCTTGTTGAATGGTGACTCAACATGATTTTCTCCTTCTATGCTCTCCCTGCATCCACATCCTTAGAATTTGCAGAGTTACAGTCTACATGACATAACCTGAAAATCAAAGACATTAGCTAAAGATTTAAAAGACTGAAATGATGTAGCCTTTACTGTCCCTATAGACATAATAAAACATGAGGTCAGACAGGAACTTCTGTGTGTCCTTCTGCAATTCACTCATTTTAATCTACAAGGACCTGAGATCAGCAGTACTGGTTCCTTGTGATTCAAGCATTTCTGATTTTCTTTTTTATCCTAAGTACCAAGGATCTTTATTCTCAAGTCTGATATTGAATCTGTAGCTGTAGACAGATATGTGGAGCCATGGTGTCATCCTGTATGTCATTGTGACCGGGTCCCATCCGTTTCAAGGATGAAATTTCCGGGAGCTGAGGCAGAGTGTGCTCATAGGGCATTATCATGTGCCCAACAACCTATCATATGAAATAAGAACATTAATAGCAAGCATGCTGACCCTCAACCCAACGAACAGAGCTGCTTTACCCCATCTTTGGCAGCATCCATGGGCCAAGACAGGCCAGGAGGAGACACTCCAGCCACTCTGTGAAGAGCACTCGTTGGCGTCAGTGTGGATGTCTCTGGGCTCGAGGTGGGCCAAGAGCGAGAGCTCAGAAAGCCTGAGCTTGAAGAGACCCAGGGTGGGGTTCTGTACCATCCTTATGAAGCCCTCCCTTGCCACAGAGAATTCCAGCACCCAAAAACTCCAGCCTCCAAGCCCTGAGGTGTCCACCTTCATACCAGCCTGGCTATCTCCAGAGGAGACCACTGGGATGCCAGATACAACCGACGACTCATAAGACAAGATCACCAATCCTACTACTCCCTCCACCCATCCCATCTTCCTCGTGTGACTCTGAGCCCTCACCATCCAACAGAGGCATCTATGGCATCCGAGGCACCAGCGACAGTCACGGCACCCCTGACACCCACCACACCCAAGGCACCCATGGAGGTCATGGCACCTGCAGCACCCCCAACACCAGTGACACCTGTGATACCAGCAACATCTGTGACATCAGCAGCAAAGCCCCAGAGCAAACCCACTACCCCCTGAGTGTGGCCAACACCGCTGGAAGCTCCTACCAAGGCGGGCAGTCCCACTCCCCAGCCACTCCCTCTCGCCTCAGAAAGAAAAAGAGGGGTGTGGCTGGGAGAATATGGAGGTTTATAAGACAACAT